GACTACCCTGAGCTTCCTTGGGTACTTTCTCTTTGGCCAGACAATGTCTGGGAGACGGTTGATTCCTTGTAGAAGAGCTGACCTGAGTCAGGGCCTGAATTTGCTGGCTGAGAATATGTGAAGCAGGTCTGTAAGTGCATAGACTACACAGGTACTCTCTAGGGTGGGCAAGCACTCAGCAGCACTAGAACCCCTGGGCTGGAAACTAGATGCTCTTAATGGTGAAGCCATTAAGTGCCATTCATTTGGAGGACCAGGAAAGCCTAAGTTTGTTTTCAGTGGCTGCTTCTTGCTCCACTATGTCCTGGAGGCAATATTGTGGTGGGTTAGGACAAGCTGTCTGTGAACTGTTCATCTTGTTTCTTAAAACTCCAGCTGAGGAAATTGAAACAGAGAGAGAAGTTAGTCAAGCTAGGAAGACTTAAGCATCTTTAAGATTGGTCAGGAAATGGTGGGGGAGGGAGGGTAAGGAAGTAAACCAGAAGTGAGGGGGTGAAACAGAGGAGGATGCAAATGAAGAGGGGTAAGGAAGACAGGAAAGAAAGAGGAGAGGGAAATAAGAAAGGGTAATTGCCTGGGGGTGATGAAGAGAGGGGCCAGGGATACGGAGCGGTAACCCTCCACAGGCTCCATTACTTTATGACTATACTGAAGAAGAGGCAGCAACTCCTGTATTAAGGTCGGTAGAATCCTAGCTCCTCCTATCACAACATGGATTGGTTTAGGATAGCTGCAAGCATTGAATATTTTGCTATAAGATGATTCTGTCTGGATAGTGGAAAAGCTAGGGGGTGGAGAAATGAATATGAAGTAGATTCTTAACCTTTTAACTCTTGTTCAAAAACTTACAAGGGAACTGGAAAATTCATGTTGCTGTCTATGTTACAGGGAGCCCAGCAGAGATGGCCACTCAGACACTGTCTATAGTCAATTGAAAGTCTTTATACCATCTGGTCAAGAGTACATTCGAGTATTCGGGACCCAAGTATAGTATCCCTGAGCATTTAGATTAAGGGGATTTTAAAGGCAAAAATCACAGCATGATTGATATCTTGCTCAGCAGCAGGACAGGGGGTGTTTTATAAGCAGGAATTTTCACAGAAGATAAGTAGCTGCGACATCTTAGCCTTGGGTCCTAGAACAGTTAGGTAATTTTCTATAGGATTCTCTCTCAAGGAGATCAAATTGAAGTTAAACCTAAACTAGCCTCAGCAAGAATACAAGATGGTGGAATCTCTGCTCTGTCTTTCCCTGTTTCCTCTGCTCAGTTCGTTTTTCTAAGTGAATCATCAGCAGATACCAGTACTCCCCAAGTTGATTGATCAGTTGAGAAATAAAACCATGGCCTCAGAAATACTTTAACACAGTTTCATTTCCCCAGAACCTCACTGTTCTAAGAGTGTCCCTGGTTAAGTCTTAGTATTGATAACAGCACTAGCAGTAATATTCCCTAAGCAATCTGTCACAGGTGGCCATTGTCTGAAGCCATTGCCTGCTTATTGTTTGCTTATTTGTTTTGTCTTGTTTTGTTTTGTTTCAAGACAGGGTTCCTCTGTGTGTCCCTGGATGTCCTGGAACTCACTTTTAGATCAGGCCTCAAACTCAAAGAGATCTGCCTGTCTCCGCCTCCTGAGTGCTGGGATTAAAGGTATGTGTCACCATGCTCAGCTTGCACGATGTATTTTCAATCTTCACAATAGTTGATGTTGAGTCTATGCTACTCCCATGCTACAGCAGAGGATTATGTTGATGTGCCTGGTCTATACTGCCACCAGAGATCATACTGAGGTCTGTGGCATATGCTGCCTCTGGAGACTATGTAGATCAGACCATGGTTAGTACGGTCACCAGAAACCCATGTCCATGATCCCTGCTCCCAATGACTGTAAAGAGCAAGGAAGCTACTTTTACAATGGTATTGATGACTGCAGACTCACAGTTGAGAGAGACATAGAAGGTTTCTGTGAAAACCCTTACTTCCACATTGCCCCAAAAGTAACAGCATAGACAAGTACTCTTAAAAATTATAATAAGGATGCTGAAGTGTAGTTGTTCTCAGATTCTGGAGGGGTTGCCCATGAGCTACTTATTCCTCTGCAAATTTCCCATTACTCCATTACCTCCATCTAAAGGAAAACTGGGGCTTAACATCAAGGTAAGTATAACACTTTGAATTCCTGGACTGCAAGCTCCTATGGGGAAAGGTTCCATCTGTATTTGAATCTATCTCTGCTTTGGATTCTCGACTTGGGCCTGTCATGTCTCTTGTCAGTGGTATACTTTCCCACAAACAAAATTCAGCTGCCATGAAAATAAAGATTGCTTTTCATGGCAGTTTTGCTAATTAACAATTAGAGGTAATTTCTGTTAAATTTTTAGGATAGTACTTGATATATAATGCTCCCTTTCTGTTGTTGGGGTGATTGTTCTTGGTGGGTAAACTAGCTGCTTATTAACTTAGCATACTGAGGCAAACAAAGCCAGAGCTAAAGTGGGATCTGGGATACCAATTAATCATTTCCTCCTCACAGTATATGAGAGCTGAATAGATTTGGGCACAAATTGAATCGTTTTGAAATTAGTGTTTCAGATGAATCATCTGATTCATCTTTAAGCTACTATGAACTGTGAGGTGAGCAGGTCATGGAGGACATTTGTGATATAAAGACAAACGTGAAAACCCTGTACTATTCTTCTCAGTTATGTCTCTATATCCTGTTATGAAATATACACATAACAGACTTGGCCATCCTTGGTCGAAATTGCATAGTTCTTCCTGCCAGGAGGCTGCTTCCTTGCATTTTATGAAATCATTCCCATTTGCATGATTCTTCCTATTTGAGTGGGTGGGATTGTGGAAGGGATTTGTATTTCAAGTTTAAGTCACATTAAAGTAGTCTTTTATTGAAGGTAAACTATTGTAATTTTGTCTAAAACAATCATGATGATGATGATAAAAACATCAGATACAATCTAGTAAGAGAAACTGGAAAATGAAGCCAATACTTTTTAATAGCATGGAAATATCCTGAGTCCAGATGATCTATTAAATTAGAACAACCTATATTCTTATAGTACTTAAGTTTATAAAATTATTTTTTATATATTGATTCTTACTATGTGGCCTTGTTAGGCAGGTAAGGAAGACTGTTTTCCATTTGTTTATGGAGAGGGAAGAGAGAAAGGAATTGCTGGAGGAGAACTGAAGACTTGGGTAAGTTTGATGAAATTAAAGCTCTTTCTACCCTCCAGGCTCAGTTATAAAAATGACCATTTTGTGAAACCACAAAGGTCCTTGAACATCAGGAAGGTTGAATATTGACAGGCATTTGAGAATACCAGTTCAAAGCCTCTGACTTGTTTCTTCCTATCCAAGTTCCATAAAGCTAGAAAACCTGAATAGCTAGAAAACCCACGCCAACCCTAGATCTGTCTCTGTATTATTCTATTGCAGATCAATAATCTGACAACCACGTTCACTACTTCCCTTTCCCCTAAAAGTGTCAGGTCAAGTAAGACCTGAAATCCTAGCACTCTGAAAGTAGATTTTTACCTTCCTCCTGAATAGGGGCTTCACATTGCAGGAAACAACAATAACCACAACACCCCTACACACACACACACACACACCCACACAGAGAGAGAGAGAGAGAGAGAGAGAGAGAGAGAGAGAGAGAGACCGCTAAATTGTTCCAACTGTCTTTAAATAGTTGAAAATCACTTACAGCACTCCACACGGTATGACAAGGTTGCTGCTGGTGAGAGTATTTGGACTACAGACATGCTTTACAGGACTTTCCAGGCATGGCCAGAGTAAATTTATATTATCTTACATTATTCTTAATCTCTACATCTGAAAATATTAGTGTCATTCAAATGATAACAGGTTTAATCTTTACCATCCTCTGTTATTGCTATCTTTATTACCACTGTGTAGCATTGCTGGAATATGAACCCATGACTGTTGGCATCGTTTTCATAATAACATGACTTAGAGAAAATGAGAAAACAGCCTACAAAGATGAAAGTTGTGGACAAAAGGTTTATGAAAAAGAATGCATGGACCAGTGGGCAATGATAGGTAACCGAGCATTAGCATTCACACATTCAGTTCCTCTGCTGGTTATTACATGATGTTAGGGAAAATGTTTAGTACCTCAATATGTTTACCAAAAGGCCAGGGAGGCCATTTTCTTTCTCACCTATTTAAAGAATTTGAGTGTGGATGTAATAGAAGATATAGCAGATTCTTGCCTGTTAGATACTGGGTGAATCGAGGTATCTATTACCAAAAGTAACGATTCTTTAAGAGCAAATAATTAGTTAAGTAATAACTTTTCATTATTATCATTGAATACCTAGTTCTAAATCATTGTGCTGTACTCTTTCTGAATTTGGCACTTTAAAATGAAAAAAAAATTAAAACCTGGCATGGTGAGATATCCTTAGAATGCAGGCACTAGAAGGTACAGGCATGATATTTACAAGTTTGAAGACAACAGGGACTAATTGAAGGATTCCATGGAAACCTTGATTAAATGATCAAACCCTATAGCAGAAAAGCAATAACAAATAAATAAATAAATAAATAAATACAATTTCCAGTGCAATATGATGAAAATATTGCACTGGTTAAATGGCTTGGAAAAGACAAAAATTATATTGTTTAAAATAATAAGCAAGACCTGAAACACCCCATCAGGTAGTTGGTAGATTTTAAACTATCTAGATAACCCCTCCATCTTTTCTCTTTGCTGTTGGGAAATGACCATACATAATACAAGCTTTTCTGACTGGTTTGATAGGAAACTGAGCTTATATTTTGGATCCCAAGTTAAACTCTGGTTAATTATACACACTGATCTTTGGAGGTTGGTGCTGAGTTTTCCACAGGAATTTTGTGAATTGCTCATTAAAAAATAGAAACATTGGACTATATACTATTTTTTTTTTAGGTCCTCGAAGAAGAGCAGAGTGATTGCAATATTTATCAAATTAAGATGGAATCTAGAAAGAGAACAAGTGAGGTAACAAACCTGCAGGACCAATGGGCATATTCACTCAAGAAAAACCGGCAAGATCAGACATATAAGACAATTATCATCACCTTAGATGGAAATCACTGGAAAACTGGAAAAATGAAATATACGCTCACACATAAGAAGACAGAGAGCTTGTATGCAGCACTCAACACTCTCAGTGCTGTCAAAGAAAGTCAACAGGGCAAAGAAATGCTGGTGTATGGCAAAGAAGGAATCAAAGGGTACATAAACCCTGGCATGCCCCTCTGCTGTTTTCCAGAAAACAGCCACGTGGTCATTACATTTTCTAAAACAGAAAAAGAACAGAGAGAAGATAAGCAAGTGTATGGTTCTCAGGACCATGTGTGTATTGACTGCGTGAAATTTTATATTCATGCAGTTGGGAAGAGGAATGAAAGAATTCTCAAGTTTAGAGAACTTCACCATGAGGGGAACAAACTCTGTGTGTATGGCTTCAAGGGAGACACCATTAAAGAAACTCTGAGGAAGGATGGCAGGTTTTACTCCTTTGTAGAGAGTGACCATTGGAAGCTCATTAAAGACTTGGACACCATCATAGAAAACACGCAACCAGTTGATGAATTAGAGGGCAAGCTCTTTCAGGTGGAGCTTGAGAGAATAAAATGTCCTCAGGCAGCAGACCCCACTGATTTAGAGAAGCCATCCTATAGGAAGCTGAAAGAATACATTGTAGATGAATATCCCACACTGAAGAGAGAGTATGAAAAACTTAGAGCGTACATCAAGGAAGAAAGTAAAGGAACTTCCTCATTTGAAATGCATAAAGATAACTTCAGGAAACTGACCAAAAACTCCACCCCAACTAAAGTGCTCAAACTTCTTTCACAGTTCAGTGACTCGGTTGGGCTCATTGTTTGGAACAACGAGGGAAATGAGGGTTGTGCTACCTGCTTTGTTTTTACAGGGCTGTACATTTTCACTTGCCGGCATGTGATCAGTGACATCATGGGTGAAGGTATAGAGCAAAGTAAGTGGACAGATAAAATTAGTCAATGTGTGAAAGTCACATTTGATTATGAAGAGTTCCTGGCAAAACAAGACACCTCCTTCTTTTTCGTTGAGCCCTGGTTTGAGATATCTGATAACATCATTGACTATGCTGTCCTGAAACTGAAGAAAAATGGACAAGAACCTGCAGGGTTGTATAATGGAATAGCCCCTGTACCGTCCAGTGGGTTGATATATATCATTGGTCATCCTGATGTAAAACAGAAGCTTAGTGACGGCTGTGCTGTGATTTCTCAAGATGAGCACATGCAGGAAAGAGAAGTAGTAGAGGGCAGCAATACAATGCAATATATCTATATATACACCCAAAGAAGTTTCCAAGAAACAGGTCATGAACCTGGTGTGGTTACCTGTGACAACACTTTTTACTGTGGATCTTCTGGATCTCCTATATTTGATTCTAAAGGGTCACTGGTAGCCATGCACACTGCTGGCTTCATTTGTGAGTATGAAAATGGTGTTTCCAGTATCGTAGAGTTTGGATCTTCTATAAAATGCATCCTCAGTGATATTAAACAAAAGCATAAAACATGGTATGATGAGGAATGTGTAAATCAGCAGGATGTAGAAATGAATAGTCAAGATTGTTGGGGACTGGAGAGAATCTAATCTATTTTCTTTTACCTTTTTAAAATTTTGTATTGGATATTTTATTTATATTTCAGATGTTATCCCATTTCCCCATTTTGCGCCCATCCAGGAACCCCCTATCCCATACCCCCTCCTCCTGCTTCTATGTGGATATGCCCCCCGACCCTCCCACCTCCCCACCCACGATTTCCCCCACACTGGGGCATCCAGCCTTCACTGGACCAAGGACTTCCTCACCCACTTATGCCTGACCTTTTTTTTTTTTTAAAGAAAAAAGCATTCTTACTCTTTGAAAATCTCACACATTTATACAATCTATATTGACCATATCCATCTACTGCCGCCTTCTTTCAACTTTTCTAGGATCCAAATCTACTGCAGTTTCATGTCTTCTTTTTAACTGTTTATTTTTCATAACTTTCTGAATCCAATTAGTACTGCTCATATGCCCATAAATATATGGCCACTCACTAGTACATGAGCACCTACCAGCAGCTATGTCCTCAAAGGAATGTGACTTCCCTTGTACGAACAGCCATCAACTGCCAATAGATCCTCAACAAGGGACAGTATCCTGGAGGCCCCAGCTCATCTTTGCAGGAATTTTGGTGGGCTTGATCTTGTTTGGGCAACCATTGCTTCTGTGAATAGATGTCTGCTCCATCCCTGTCATGTTTAGAAGACAGTACACCACATCTCTCCCTCTGCCTATTACATTCTTTGTGACCCCCGTCTATCTAGTTCCCTGAGATGATTCCTGAGAGTTTAATACAAACCACTCATCCACACCTGCATACTCACACTATTTATACTTAGCACTCAAACATTGTCTTAAGTTTTCTCTGACCAGTGCTAAGTATGGCACAAGTCTTCCCATGCCTGTAGCCTATTTTCTTCTGCTTTTAAAAAGTAGATGTGTATTAGTTCTTTTAAGATATAAGACATGCATACAATATATTTTGATCATATTCACCTTTCTGTTCCTCTTCCTAACTCCTCCTGTTCTACCCCATCTCTCTTCCAACTCAGCATCCTCTGTTTTTTGTTTCTTTTTAAATTAACATGACTCCAACTTGTGGTATCCATATACTGAGGTGTGTTGGGGCATATACTGGAGCATATTTGAATTACTAGAGCTCATACACTTAAGAAAACTGACTTTTCCTTCCCAAGTAGGCTTCAAGTGCCAGAAACCCTCAGCTAAGGGTTGGAGTTCATGAGCCCCTTCCCTACCCATTTCAACTGAAAATCAGATGATAACTATCTCTTCTTATAATTAACCTAACTTAAAGACCTATGATTTTATTTGGAGTTCATTAGCTTATAACAAATGTCTCCCTTTCTGTTCCCAGATTCTATCCATATTTGCATTTAGTTATCATGTCTCCTTTAGGTTCCTGAAGGCTGTGACAACATTTTGGAGCTGTTGGTTTCTATGACCCTGGCAGTAGGAAGAATAGTGGTCAGCAGCTTTTAGTATGTGCCTCTATTGGGGTTTGCCTGATGACTTTCTAATGACTATATTGAGTTATGAGTTCTGAGGGTGATCACAGTCAGGAATCGTTTTCATGCTGCCAATCAAGTTTATTTAGTCACATTGTGAAGCTGTGCTTCTCCTCCTCCTCCTCTTTTCACTTTCTGTTTTGTACCCATGGGAAGGAAATCACTATGCATGGTCCTTGTTTAAAGAGTTAAGACTTATGTTCCTCCTTCCTGCGGAAGGTATTCCTAGAGTAGCTACATAATTCAATAGGATTATTCTGAAATTGGAATTTCTTTCTTCTTATTGACTTTTTTATTCAATTCTTCAGTAATAGCAGTAAAGGCACTGACATTGTTCCCCATTGTCCTATGCTCATGTGTCCTGCCCCCAGCTCTGCTCACTTTTGTGCATCTGTGCCTACCTCTAGTAATGCACTGTGCTCACCAAATTCCAAATCTCTTTGCAGAAATTTGAACCCAGAGCTTTATGAATCCTAAGCATGTCTATAGTACTGAGTCACCCTGCTAGCCCCTGAGAATTTTAAGTAATCTATTCTTTTCTTTTGTATATATGTCTCCTGTAATCATGGGAGGAGTGCTTTTCATCTTAAAAATACTGAATTAAAATGCAGCAAAGAAATATATGTATACGTAGTAACCTGCATAGATAGATAAATAGATAGATAGATAGATAGATAGATGATAGATAGATAGATAGATAGATAGATAGATAGATCCATAAATATTTGTACCCATAACCATTTGTATCTACAGTAAATTACAGAATTATTATAGATGTCACCAAATCTGATTCATAACTTCATAGAACATTTCAGCCTCTTCTCAGTGCATCTCTATAAATTCTCATTCCAACTTTGGGAAATATAGTTTTTTTTTTTAACCACATCTCAGTCATTTAGTTAGTTGATTAATCAGAGTATAGGTACATAAAAACATAGATGTTACATACATATGTAAAAGTATAGATACATAGATAATAGCTATTTAGTTAACTGCATGGATACATAGGTAATAAATGCATACATAGATATATACATTAATACATATACACATGATGATATACCTAAACATATAAATGATATATGCATAAATAAATACATATATACATCCATAGATAAATATCTGATATAGATAAAATGCATAGATATGGATACAGAGACATAGATTCATAGACATATATATTATAAAGACATATAATAGATATTTTACAACTATATGGATATATGCCTAAATATAGAGAAGATAATATATAGCACTAGCAAACACGGCAAAATTTCTCATCTATTCTTGGATGAGAAATAATGTTTTATCAGCTAAACAATGCTCCTGTGAAATTTCTTTTGCTTTTATCTGACACATGCCATTTCTTTCTAAATTCAAGTGAAGGCTTCCACCTACCTGACACACATCCCAGTTGAGTGAGAGTCTTTAAACATTTGGAATGGTTACACAAATAATAAATTCTCTTAGGATAACCCACATTCATGCTATCTTCTGAGCATTTGAGTTCCTAAATGATTTTGTAAATTTATATAATTTAAAGTTCACCGTGTGACATTTACTGGATTTAGGAGATATGTAATGTCATTTGTCTATTAAAGTATCTACTGTAAATGTAACTTTTATTAGCCTGATGTAACTGTCATATCTCAGACTTACTGCCTCAGTCTGCTAACCTAAGCCTAATCCTGGAAGCTTCTAGCCTCCATATAAGTCTAGAAGGTTTTCAGCCTTTGAAACTTACTGATAAATAAACTCACCCTTTCTTGGTTCTTTCTGAGCTCTGGCTGACTGGTTCAACTCAGCTTTTCTGGTTCAAAACTCCTGTCCAAGCTGACTGATTCAGTCTGGCTTCTCTTAGATTCTTACTGAATTGCTCTGTTTGCCCTCATACTAACTCTAGTAATCTGCTCTAATCTTCTACCTCCTTCCTGTTCTCTGGCTCATTCTGTCTTCACCTTTGTCTATCTTGTTCTCTCTGTCTGCAACCTGTGTGATCAAATATCCTGTAACAATCTACAGAGTAGTTTGGTTGTTCTATTAAGTACCCATTCTGTCCTTTTTTCTTTCTAAATGCTGGTTGCAATCTATCTTCTTAGGGTCCTCATAGTTTTACCTTCTCCAGAATGTCACATAAGTGGAGTCATATGGCACGTACCTTTCAAGACTGCCAATAAATCATTAATGTTTCTTGTATATTTGTGGATTTATAGCTCATTTCTATTCTTTATTGCATACTGACATATAGATTTTCTACAATTTATTTACTCTCTTTTTGAAGAGATCTTAGTTGCTCCCAGTGTTTAGTGAATAATGAATAAAACAGCTACAAAACTCTGTGCTTTGGTTTTTGTGTGACATACATTTTCAACAATGTTGGCCAAATACCAACCAAAGAGTATAATTGGAGTCTACACTAAGACAGTGTTCAGCTTTGTAAAAATCTGCCAAAATTCTCCAAAAGTAATTACTATTTTGCATGTTCCAACAATAACAAATGAGAGGGCTTATCCCTAACACCAACATTCAGCATCATCTGCTACTATGTTCTGGTTTATTGGATTTAGATTTGAGGCTTACTATTGGGATGGCTGCTTCTGAGGAGTACAAGATTTATTAAAGAAGTGGAGGCTAATTAAGGGAAGCTAGAATATAATGGACTTAAGAATAAGAGCACCTTTGAGTATAAGAGGAGAAGGAGAAGATATCTTCCATAAAATTTCAGCTAGAGGATGTCAACCCAAAGCCCTGGAGCAAGGAGAAAACTTGCTGAGAGAGGTGATGTGCCAGTGCTGGCTACTAGCCCTAGCAAGGGATTAGGAACTGAGGAAGGACACAGCATCAGAAGAAGGCCAACGACTCATGGCCTCTGGCCTTGTGACTCTCTCTTACTGTTCTGGGGGTCAGAAGCTGATGGCTTCTGGAAATGTAACTCTTTTTTGCTATTCTGTCACTAAAATCTGCTTACTTCCGGTAATTTGACTCAAACTGGTAACATCAAGGGAATTAGCAAAAAGACTTCATTTCTCTCTGGTCCAAGGGCCCCTCCCTAGCCAGGCAAGAAGCTTAGAGTTCATTATCTCTTTGTCAACCAGAGAAGAAAGAGGAGGAAGAAAGGGATAAATCAGGCACACACATAGACACATGCAGACACCCATGTTTTGGCTGGCTTGACCACAGTCTACTTGTCTCAAAAATTCCACAAGTGTTCATGCATACTTACATGCATTCACATATACCTACACATGTATATATATGCATATATATAGACAAATAGCCATAGATAGATAGATAGATAGATAGATAGATAGATAGATAGATAGATAGAT